ACAGCCTACAATAAAAAACGACATGTTTCCATGCAAAAAAAATGGTACCGCTTTCAGCACAAAAAATTGGAAATAATCAGACCGCCGAGGAGGTTAAAAGGATAAAGGCCCCCCAGCAGAGGTTTTTATGTTTTGGATAGTGTGGGGAGAGATTGGAACCTCGGACAGTTTCTTATTGCTGTGTGTTCTCCATAGGCAGATTCTCCCTCTCTATTTGTCGTTTACTATTATCACCAAACGAGAAAGAAAATCCAAAAACTTTAGCCTGTCACCAGAACAGGAACAAAGGAGAAACCTTCCAATAGGGAAACTAGTCCTGTTGACTGTAGTGACCACCAGGGATTCCCTCACATTGAATGGATTTCCTCTCATTTCCTGTTTTGACTATGGGGTGGGGAGTGACGTGAAGTCTCCCCAATGTGGCACAGATGGCAAGAAATGACAGGGGCTATAACCCTTCCTTACTCTTTTAAAAATGGAGAAAAGTTTTTCACTTCGGTTTTTCTTTAAAACAAAAAAAATCAGTGCACATCACAAACAAAGGATTTCCCAGCACACTTACCAGCCAGCTTGCAAAATGACTAATTTGGTCCTGTCTAACAGTTTGCATTAAAAACAGAGGGTTTTGTTTGCACACATTTGCAAACACATGCGTAAGCTGCAGTCCCACGTCAAGGGTCCTCTGTATACTGCGGACCTAACTGTACAATTTCCAGAGCCTCCACAGTGGGAGCACACATATCAATGGATGGGTTAAGGGCAGGTGTGCCTGGAGGAGCCAATCCCTCCTTAAAGTGGTAGTTAAGTCACTTTTTATATATTTTTACCTACATGTAAACTTATAATAAAACTTACTATGTAAAATTAATATTTCCTAAACATTCACCATTTAGGAGATATTCTATGGAGCAATAGCCGGTGACAATAACGGTGCATGCGCTCTGAAGGAACGGCATACCCGTGCACTCTTGTTTCTGGGCCCTACTATGGGTGTAAACAAGAACTAACATACACATATGTGGTATGGCTGCAACTGTCAGGATCAGGAAAATATAATTTGGGTTGTCTTTTGGCGGTAGGTTATGGTGGTAGCAAAACCTATACGACTAAATTAAAAAAAATATATGTATGTGTGTGTATATATACATACACATATATATGCATTCTGAAGGAATGGCATACCGCGCACTCTTGTTTCAGGGCCCTACTATGGGTATAAACAAGAACTAACATACACATATGTGGTATGGTTGCAACTGTCAGGATCAGGAGTATATATATGTATATATATATATCGCTGACCTTGTCTCTAAATACCACCCAAACCGTACTCTCCGCTCCTCGCAAGACCTCCTACTCTCTAGCTCCCTTGTCTCCTCCTCCCATGCTCATCTCCAGGATTTCTCAAGCGCTTCACCTAGCCTCTGGAACTCCCTACCCCAAGCTATTAGGCTATCGCCTACTCTGCTCACCTTTAGGCGTACTCTGAAAACCCATCTCTTCAGGGAAGCCTACCCCGCCCCCAGCTAATACTGGAATCCACTACTTCTCCTACCACTCCATCCCCCACAGCTAATTACCTCCTGTACCACTATCCCCTCCCTCCTAGATTGAAAGCTCCAAGGAGCAGGGCCCTCTAATCCCTCTTGTATTGAACTGTATTGTTACTGTACTGTCTCCCTCCATAATGTAAAGTGCTGAGCAAACTGTTGGCGCTATATAAGTAATGCATAATATTAAGAATAATTTTATATATATATATCTAAATAAAAAAAATGTATGTGTGTGTATGTATATATATATATATGTGTATATATATATATATATACAGTTGTGTTCAAAATAATAGCAGTGTGTTGAAAAAAGTGAATAAAGCTCAAAATCCTTCTAACTTTTATTTCCATACACACAAATGCATTGGGAACTCTACACATTCTATTTTTTATTCATTCTATTGTTTGGGGGTCGTCTGACAAACTGTCTCCGGCCACTAGACCCAAAAAGAACAATCTTACTTTCATCAGTCCACAAAATGTTGCGCCATTTCTCTTTAGGCCAGTCAATGTTCTTTGGCAAATTGTAACCTCTTCAGCACATGTCTTTTTTTCAACAGTGGGACTTTGCGGGGGCTTCTTGCAGATAGCTTGGCTTCACATAGGCGTCTTCTAATTGTAACAGTCCTCACAGGGAACTTTACACCTTCTTTCATCTTCCTGGAGCTGATTGTTGGCTGAGTCCTTGCCATTTTGGCTATTCTTCTATCCATTCGAATGGCAGTTTTTTGCTTTCTTCCACGTCTTTCAGGTTTTGGTTGCCATTTTAAAGCATTTGCGATCATTTTAGCTGAGCAGCCTATCATTTTCTGCACTTATTTATATGTTTTCCCCTCTCCAATCAACTTTTTAATCAAGGTACGCTGTTCTTCTGAACAATGTCTGGAACGACCCATTTTCCTCAGAATTTCAGAGAAAAATGCACTGTAACCAGCATGTACAACATTTGCTGCCTTCTTTCCTTAAATAAGGGCAATAACTGCCACCTGTTTTTTAAAGAATGAATGACCTCACTAATAGAACTCCACACTGCTAATATTTTGAACATGCCTCTTTCAATTAGTGATTCAATTACACAGAATCAGCAGCATGCATGTCATGACTGTTGGGTCTGTTGGATTTCTATTACCCTACTACACCTGCTAGAAAATTATTTGCCATGTAGAAATATCATTTCTACCAAAAACAGTGACTGATCAGGTTAGTGATGTCTGACTGCTATTATTTTGAACACAACTGTGTATATATATTTTTTATTTTTTATTTATTTATTTTTTCTTCTTTTTTACAAGTTTGGGCCAGTTTTCCTACGAGATATATATATATATATATATATAGGAAATATCCATTTACCATGAAAAGAAAGTCAAATTTGTCCTGGAACAAAAAACAACTGGATACACAAAGTAGTTGCAATCATATGTACAGTTTTACTAACACATGTCAAACTTGCAAAATTGGGTCTGGGCATTAAGATTTATTTTACCCTTGGTCATGAAGGGGCCAAAGTGGAAAAAATAGTACCTGATAGCCTATTTGAAGTAAATAGACTATGGTAAAAATAACCGCTTCAGTAAAACCTCTTAGAGCTTCATTTTCTCAGTCCCGGCTTGCAAATTTAAAGCAAAATTAAATGTGTTTCTCTAGCTAACAGTCCAGTTTTAAAAGACATAAGTCAACCACAGTGTCCTAAATCCCAGAAATACAGTAGTGCATTATTTCCATATAATAAAAAATGATGTATCTCTTTCTTACAGGTATCATTCAGTCATGCTACACTAACCTGTTTTCATGCTTTTATTGTGCAATGATGGCTGTGCAGCTCTGTGAGCTGGCCAAAGAAAATAAATTAAAGGCCTTAGACAATTTATTGAGTCATTTCATGCGCTCTAATCCAATAGTCCCCAATTCTGGTTTAACACTTAAAAGGTATTTATAAAAGACATTTAATGATGCCTGCAATACAACTTTACTACAAGCAGAACACTAATAACTGTGATGCCATGGCCATTTCTACTTGTTTTTATTTGTTATATTTTCTTTTTTTTTTTTTTTTTTTTTTACCTTGAACAATCATGCCCTGCAGCCATCTGTACCGTACTTTGTCCTTCTGTGCCTCGGTGAGTGTTGATCTTCTGAGCAGGGTGTTTTTTTTTTTTTTTTGCAATTCAAGTGGCCAATTATTTCATTTTGCCATCCTGCCATGCCATGTCTCAGAAACCCATTATCAAAATATCTGCATTGCAGGAAATAACCTCAGGCAAGAACAATGAGTATAGAGGAAAAAGAAAAAATACCACATTGCATTGTATAGCAGGAGCTCCGCATAGACTCAAGCACATACAGTGTGTCCTGCAAACATCTTTATCGCCAAAAAGTGCGCATCCCATTTAATTCACCGCTGGTGAGTGGCGCAAATTAAAAAAGCAGCTTCCAGCAGAAGGGAGATTAGTGCATCTAAAAGGGCCTTGAATTATTGCCTTGACTGAACCGGCTCGTTGTGCTTGAGATTGGCATTTCAAGGTCATGGAACCTTGAATTGCCTATAGAAAGAGGGTCATGAAACTACAACCTAGTTTATAGTAGGAACATATAAAATTTGATAGGTCTTTAGGAGCAGTTTTGCTGTCCTTCTAGAGTTTTTTTTTCGTCCCATAATGTGGAAATCATTTTTAGCAGAAAAAAATATGCTGCGTTTTTTTTTTTTTCTGGTGCATTAGAACAAGAAAACTGCCAGCAGGGTTTTGTGTAATAAATTATGGGCAGCAGCTCCGAGCCAAATTCTTATGAGTATGGGTCACTGAGATTTAACGAACAGAGACGGATTTCACCGCTACCTGATTCAGCTCAGCCCTTTGGCAAGTGGAAGCTGTTGCGTTTTGTAAACATCTAGCCGGCCCTTTTGTGGACTTCACTAACCCGTAATAAATGTGTTTTACAGAAATCAACATCCAATGTCACCGTGATTCATATGAACAGGGATCAGAAATGGTTGTACTTAGATGCACTCTACGATTCAGAGAAAAAGTTATAATTTGTTGTATTTTAGAAATAATTAGATGCAGGCCGTTGGCTGCGTGTTATGTGAATTGCAAGCAAACGTTCTGAATACAAATTGTTGAGTCATAAAGTTGATAATCACCCTGTTTGTATTGAATGCCATTAGGTAAGATGGGGATTGTAAGTCCTCATGCATACGGGACGTTTTTACAGCTGCTGTTTTTGGCTTTTGGCATTTTTTTCTACAGCCAGTAAACTCCCCAACCAGGGGCGGATTGACCATTTGGAAACTTGGAAACTTGAATTTTTTTTTTCTTTTCTTACACTGGTAAAGGCTGTAAAAGCAATCATTTCACCTCCTCTCTGGCTGCATTCCTGCAGCCTTTAAGAAATACTGTGAGAGCTGTGATTGGTCACGGCTTGCCACATGGTACAAGGCTGTTGTGAATAGCCTTTTACCATGTGACCTCTGTGATCATGCACAGATTTCACACGTAGTAAGCAATGATGTCAGAAAGTGACTATTCATGTGATCACTGATTAACCAATCATATGATCATATGAGTTGGGACCTCACGCAGTGCTGCGCACTTCCAGGGAGCGCACAGATGTGGGGAGACATCTAGAAACATTCACCCGCTTTGGCAGAGCTCCCGTCTGGCCAGGGCAGACTGACCATTTGGAAACTCGGGCCCTGCCCGAGGGCACGGGGTCAGTAGGGGGCCCCATGAGATGCCTCTGGTACTTTTTTCATAGGCTTTTTTGAGCAAGGGCACAGGGGCCCCATGATCCCCTATTGCCCGGGGGCCCCAAGAGTTGTCAGTCCGCCCCTGTCCCCAACATGTTTTCCTATGTGTCTGTGCACACATAGGCTTTAATCAGCATTTTTTGGCAGGGGCGTTTTTTGGCTGGAAAAAAAAATCTAGAACTAGTGGGTTTCTTGAGGAATTTTTAGCTGTAAAAACATTCTAACGCTGAAAAACATGGTAAAACGTGGCAAACCGGCATTTTTGGACTTTTTCTTTAGAATGCATGAAGGTAAAAAACTTTGAGCCTTCACAACCAATTTAAGTCTGTATGTATTCAAATAAAAAGAACCATCCAGCAGATCCTTGTAGTGTGACGAAAACACTGAGTGCCATCTCCTTAATCAAATGCACACTTACCAGACCACAAGCGGTAATAAGTACAGCAGACACAGCATGTTGCTCAGGCACAGATCCTTCCCAGGTGTATGCACTTCCACTCCAGAATCACTCATGTTAGGTAGCAGCAAAAGGCAACTCCCACTGGAACAAAATGGGATCACTAAGGAGCCAACAGAAGGCCAGTGATAGTGTAGAGTCTCAGCGCTCATATCACACCTCTGCACGATCTCGGGTCGTCAGCGGCTCTCTCAGTGTGTGATTACTGTGTTTTTTTTTCGTTGTCACATTGTTTTAACTGGATGACTGCCTCTGTTCTACAATAAATCTGTATTTAAACTATTACACTATCACTGGCTTTCTGTTGGCTTTTTGGTGAGCTCTATTTTTTGCAGTGGGAGTCTTTTGCTGCTGCCTAAGAGGAGTGATTTCGGAATGGAAGTGCATACACCTGGGGAGGATTTGTGCCTGAGAAACATGCTGTGATTGCTATACCTGTTACAGCTTATGGTTTGGTGGATTGGTGAGTGTGCATTTGATTAATCCACCCGCTTTGGCAGAGCTCCCGTCCGCTGTTTATTTACATGGGACGGACAGGAGCTCTGCCAAAGCGGGTGGATGTTTCTAGATGTCTCCCCACATCTCTTGCCTGTGTGCGCTCCCTGGAAGTGCGCAGCACTGGGTGAGGTCCCAACTTATATGATCACTGATTGATCAATCAGTGATCACATGAATAGTAGTAAGCAAGATGTCACTTCCGGACCTCATTGCTTACTACTTGTGAAATCTGTGAATGATCACAGAGGCCACATGGTAAAAGGCTATTCAAAACAGCCTTGTACCATGTGGCAAGCCATGACCAATCACAGCTCTCACAGTATTTCTTAAAGGCTGCAGGAATGCAGCCAGAAAGAAGGAGAAATTATTGCTTTTACAGCCTTTATCAGTGTAAGAAAAGAAAAAAAAATCGTCATCACCCCCAACAAGTAGTACAGTGTCACTATGGTGACACTGTACTGCTAGGGTGACAGTATGTTAAAAAAAAAAACCCCATAATAATATAAAAAAATTAAATAAAAGTTTAAAAAACATTTTTGAAAAATTATAATGTTTGGTTATAAACTAATTTGGGTTATTTTTTTTTTACTAAGAAGATAGATGAATATATTTTGGCCAAGATTTATGAAGAAAGATGATTTATTTTCATTTATATAGCAAAAAAATAAAAATCTCAGTGGTAAATAAATACCACCAAAATAAAGTTTTATCTGTCTCAAAAAAATGCTAAAAAATGTATATGGTTACAGTGTTGCATGACCGCGCAATTGTCATTAAAAGTATGATAGCACTGAAAGCTGAAAATTGGCCTGGGCAGAAAGGGGGTGGAAGTGTCCAGACTAGAAGGGGTTAAGGTAGTGGCACTCTGTGTGAGTGCCTGTAAAAGCTTCTTCGGTTCTGTTAAACCCGCCATACGTCCCCGTTTAAGGGACACATCACACTGGTAATACGTTATGTCACTTGTGCTGATTTTGTTATTTTTATTTTGACTACACTTAAGCTGGCCTTACATGGATCAAAGTTTTGCCGGTTCAGCAGAGACTGGCCAAATTTTGGTCCTTGTGTGTCCATGCCTCTTCAATTGAACTTAATTGCTAGATTTACTTTTGTTGAACTGACTTGGAAACATTTTCTCAATCAACTGGCTGTAATCACTTATCAATGTATTCTTACAGTTCAGGAGTCCCGGAGTCCCCACTGTCAGAATACAATGTCCCAGCAGGAGGATTCATCCATCCAACTCGCTTGTGTGGATAGTGGAATCCGTTTGTGGACTATTGACAAAAATTTCAGTAGTCTATGGCCAGCTTTAGACTGTAAATATTGAAAAAAAATGTAATGTGCAAAAAGCACAGGGCAGTACAGTGGTTAGCACTTCTGCCTAGAAGCACTAGCGTCATTACTTCAAATCCTAACCGTGGCACTACTTGCCTTGCATTTGCATTTACTCTCTGTGCCTGGGGAGGGGGTCCTGCCACACTCCAAAGACATGCTTGTAGGTTAATTGGTTCCTGTCTAGAGTGACCCTAGAATGTGAGTTAGGTATTTTAAGCCAGCCATAGATGGATCGAATTGAGACTGGTTCAGCAGGTATCAGCTGAGATTTGATCTCTATGGGCAGGCTGGTTGTACCCGAGTTCATCCAATGATAGTCTTGGGTGCAACCAGCCTGTTGAACTTTTAGCATGCAATTCCTGTCCACAGTTGTGCACGCTAGCAGTAATCATTGAGTTCTCATGGCCGGGGAAGGGGTCCCAACAATAAATCCCCCCCCCCTCCCCTGGCAGGACACAATACTGCTGTGGGAGGCATTCCCCCAACACTGACTGTGTTAATGGAGGTATCAATTTTCTGTCCTTCCACCCATGGTGGAGGGAAAGAAAATCGATTAATCTCTGTCTTGCCTTAGATTTAAAGCCCCTGGAGGGCAGGCACTGATGTGAATGTATGGTATAAATATGTAAAGCGCTGCATAAATTAACAGTGCTATATAATTACTTGTATTGAATAAATTCAAATTTTGTAAACGATAAAAGCTTATAGAACCCATATAAACACAAGCAAATACTTGAAAGACATGTATGTACAGACTTGACACTTGATGGTCTTTGAAGGACCACTCCAGTACTGTTTGAAAAGTATTTCCAGGACAATCATACAAAATATCTTCAGCGAATTAATTACTGCCCGGCAATAGGATTACAGGGTTAATGCATTTCAAATATAATTAGAAAAAAAAGTAATTCATATTGATCCAATCATAAGTGCATTATTACACATGCGTGTGGCTTTTTGTTAATTGCAACCTTGATTTTGTTAGAGGTTAGATTCTAATTTGAAAATTGACATTTTGTGTCATTGATTTATGGCATACTCATGGGGTGCCACATGGCCTTTGGATAGAGGCTGCTTGTTTACACAGAAAGAAACTCTGAAAACCTCAGCATGAGCGCATATTACTGCATGTGTGAAAGGCGGTTTTCATCCTGTTTACCTGGGGGTAGCGCACGCCACCAAGCAGCTGGTCGGCAAATCCTAGATGATCCAGTATGATGTATTTCACATTCAGCTCCCGCTACAAATTCCCTCCTTTCAGAAAGTCACCGTGAGCTTCTTTCAAGATGTGTGATTAAAATACAGACTAAGAACACAACACGCCAGTTTTCATGATAATGTCTACAGTAATTGACCTATTATTGCTGCTTTAATCAGAACATGCCGTCTACGAAATGCGTGTTTTTAGGCAAGAGTAACAAAATGAACTTTGTAATTTACATTGTTTGCCCTTCAACATTTTAGTGAGACGAGTGTTTTCTGATTTTCTTTTCTCGTTGCAATCCTCTGGCACTGATTAACTAACTGAAAGCCGATATGATCTGTGCCAGCTCGCTAAGTATTCAGATAAGAGTGTTGTCACTGAAGAGAAATCCTCACTACAAGTAGAGGATAAGAAAGTGGATGATAATTTAATAGTCTCCATGATCAGTTCTCTATTAGCTGTAGAATCAAAAAGACATTTTTCTTAATTGTCCCCCGCCTCTTTTAATTAGCGATCTGAACATGGACGCCATGTAATGGAGAACAGCTAAGATGTAGACATTGACATCTCTTCAATGGTTTGTTCTGCGATACTGTATCTAATAGACAGATGACGGAAACATATACAATGACTTCTACATATTTGGCCCTGGTGCAAAAAACGCTGTGTATAGATGCATGTGGTATCTAGTTTTGCACATATTTGCAGCATAAAATAAATGAATAAGGCTTTTAAATGCGCTTGGGGGGGCATTATGTAGTGCTGCATTAAAAAAAAAATTGAGCAGACATGAATTGATAGCCTTGCAGATCATTTGTTTTTACGTCGTAGCACAAATACGCGTAAAATGTATAAAATATGTGTAAATCTACCTAAGCACATGTAGGTGCATGTAAATAAAATTGGATGAGTTTATGACGCAAACAAGTATAAAGAGCCAAACACAGTTCATAAGTTCATATAATAAGAGCTCCAGAGCAGCTACTCTGCACTTATTACTCTGGAATAGTGTATAATGGACAACAAAGGGCTCTTCTAAGTGTAGCAAGTTATTAAAAACAGTAAAAAATGCTCTCACTTTGATGAAAGAAGGCATAGCTTAAAACCATGGAAAGTCATCTCAAGGACCCAGGCCAAACTAGCAATCCAGGAAGGTGTAGAGAGAAGACACCTCAAGCATGTAGAGTTACAACAACACCAGAGCCAGTTTGACAGCATAGGGATATTCCAAGATGACATCACCACTGAGATGTCTCTTGTGAATCCTAAGAGAACACGGTGCTGGGCAGTCAATAGGAAGTGTTCACATCAAGCAGTCAGCAATGATAACTCCTGAAGAAG